ATAATTTCAAAGGCCTGAGAAAATGTTTCCATAATACGTGAACAAAAGTAGACTGTAAAATAGCGTGGGCAGTATGCTATCAGCTTTGAAAAACAAACTAGAGAGACAACAGATTGGAAAGAAGTATGACAAAGAGATATCACTGGTTATCTGTGTTTGGCAGATATGTGAGTATACATATATCTATGTGCATATCTATATCTATGTATTTCCTTTTTCTACAATGATAAAGCAATCTGGAAAAAATAGGTTTTTGGTAACTACGCAGTTTTCCAGGTTTTGTATTTTTAATTTTTTTAAATGTCTATTTATGAGAGAGACAGAGAGAGAGAGAGAGCAGGGGAGAGGGAGAGAGAGAGAGAGGGAGACACAGAATCTGAAGCAGGCTCCAGGCACAGAGTCCAATGCCGGGCTCAAACTTGTGAACTGTGAGATCATGACTTGAGCCAAAGATGGACGCTTAACTGACTGAGCCACCCAGGCGCCCTGGGTTTTGTATTTTTAAGAAGAAGTCATGTTAACTTGACGCCCAGACAGGATATTCCTCATGTGCCCTATGTGCACATTCCACATGGGTGTAGCCCATCTCCATGGTTAACTGTATGCTTGCCTGTTTTTCAGTTTATATACTTCCCAGGAGTCTGGGAACGCTAACTCTACACCAAAATAGGGCTCCTCCAGTTTTCTATTTTATTGCAAAGCACCAGAAGGCAGAATGTATACCTCTCTAGGACCTATAACAGGTCCTTAAAGCAAGTCAATGTTTAGTCACTCATAAAACAACAGAAACAAACAAGGCATTTTTGCTTCTATGCAATATAAAAACAAAAATACACAAACGCATCTTCCTGGCCACCTGCTCTGTCCTCTGTGGAGCCTCTTGAGTCACTGCTAGGAAGCACTAGGTTAATGAGTGTGCTTGACAGACAGCAGCTTGTGGCTGGGGTTCTGATTATTTTTTTAAGTGTTTACTTATTTTTAAGAGAGAGAGACAGAGTGTGAGTGGGGGAGGAGCAGAGAGAGGGAGACACAGAATCTGAAGCAGGCTGCAGGCTCTGAGATGTCAGCACAGAGCCTGACACAGGGCTCGAACTCGGGACCGGCAATATCGTGACTTAGGCTGAAGCTGAACGTCTCACCAAATGAGCTACCCAGGTGCGCCTCTGATTTTTTTTAAGTTTATTTTCATTTTTAAAAGAGATAAGGGAACAAGGTGGGGAGGGGCAGGGAAGAGAAGGAGACAGAATCTCAAGCAGGCTCTGTACTGTCAGCAGAGAGCCCGACACAGGTTCAAAATCACAAACCAGGAGATCATGACCTGAGCCGACTCAGACACCTAACAGACTGAGCTACCCAGGTGCCCTAGACGTTCTGGTTTTAACTTAACTCCTGACTTCTCCTTAACTCACCTACTCTCATCTTCTCTTTGTTCCTTATTCCAAATGCCTTCATTTAAAAATGTTATTTCATCTTCTATTCTACATATTTATGCATCTGAAATCCCAATTCTGAAATGGGAACATTTTTTTCCCCTCTCTTTTAAAAGAGGGGAAGGAAGTACACATGCTACTTACTGATAACATCACACAACTAGTTCCTTAGGATAAAAATGAGAAATAAGCATTATCAACGACTTTTTATCATCCAACAGCTTTTCATAAAGATAAAAATATTATTTTTCACTTCTATCCACATCTATTTTAAAAAGAGAACTGGGGCGCCTGGGTGGCTTAGTCGGTTAAGCGTCCGACTTTCGCTTAGGTCATGATCTCGCGGTTTGTGGGTTCGTGCCCTGCGTCGGGCTCTGTGCTGACTGCCGGCTCAGAGCCTGGAGCCTATTTCAGAGTCTGTGTCTCCCTCTCTCTCTGACCCTCCCCTGTTCACGCTGTCTCTCTCTCTCTCTCCTAGAAATAAATAAAAATATTTAAAAAAAAAAAAAAGAGAACTGAATTTTGCTATAAAATCTTTATATTCTGATAGTGGTTTACTTACCACACAACTTAAAAACTTGTGTAATATTCTCTGAACATGCTCCTACCTGTTTCTTCTTCCTATTAAAACTACCTATTCCCTGGGGCACCTGGGTGGCTCAGTTGGTTAAGCATCTGGCTTTGGCTCAGGTCATGTTCTCGTGGCTCATGGGTTCAAGCTCTGCATCAGGCTGTATGTTAACATCTCAGAGCCTGAAGCCTGTTTTGGATTCTGTGTCTCCCTCTCTCTCTGTTCCTTCCCTGCTCACACTCTTTCTTTTAAAAATAAGTAATAAAATAAATATTTTTTAAAAACCTACTTATTCCTGGTACCATTCAGAAAAATCTCCAAATGACAGACTATTGTTTCCTAATGATACCAGGGAAGTGACAGAAAAAAAAAATTACTGCACATTCTTTTTGATAAATGGACAATTTTTCTTTCATTTTCTCTATTTAGAAATGAGAACTGGCTTTAATGGGTAAATATTCTCCAAACCAGGAAGAACATTTTCTAAAAATGCTGAATGTAAAAACAGCAAAGCTGCACATCTTATGAAAACGAGGCTCAAGGGGCGCCTGAGTGGCTCAGTTGGTTGGAAGGCCGACTTTGGCTCAGGTCATGATCTCATGGTTTGTGGGTTCGAGCCCCGCATCGGGCTCCGTGCTGACAGTTCATAGACGGGAGCCTGTTTTGGACTCTTTCTTTCCCTCTCTCTCTGACCCTCCCCAGCTCACACTATCCCTCTCTCTCAGAAATAAATAAAAAAATGTTAAAAAGAATTAAAAAAGAAAGAAAATGAGGCTCAAGACAAAGATGGTGGCACATTTTTGATATGATAGAACCCTTGAAACCAGCGGTGATTTAAAAGACGCCACAGGCTTTGGGGCGTACTGGAGACTAACATGCAGCATCTAACAGCAACCCACACCAAAGGTCACTGGCAAAGGGCTGTTAAAATGGCAAAAGGGATAGTATTTCTTTTTTTTTTTTTTCTTAAATTTATTTCTAGGAGAGAGAGAGACAGCGTGAACAGGGAGGGTCAGAGAGAGAGGGAGTCACAGACTGAAACAGGCTCCAGGCTCTGAGCTGGCAGTCAGCACAGAGCCCGACGCGGGGCTCAAACCCACGAACCGCGAGATCATGACCCAAGTGAAAGTCGGACGCTTAACCGACTAAGCCACCCAGGCGCCCCAAAAGGGATAGTATTTCAACAGGGGGGCAAGAGAAGGTGAAGGTGGACAGCCTGCAGGGGTCGAGCCAACGCCCACTAGAGGCAAAAAGAACAGCAGCGCCATCAGTGTCACTGGTAGGGTAAGGGCGGGGGGGGGGGGGGGGGGGGGGGGGGGAAGGTGAGGGATGAGATCAGAGTCGGAGGTTAGATCACATAGGGCTTTGTGTTTTTCTGACTTTGACGAGAAGCTCCTGGGTTTGAAGAGAAGTGAAAGTTCTGATTCTATGTTTGTTTGTTTTTTTTTTAAATCACAGCTGTTGGGAGCAAGAGCAGAAGCAGGGATATCCAATCAGAGACGTACAGTCATCTAAGTAAGAAGGCATAGTGGTTTTTGTTAGAGAGGGGGTGATACGTGGTCAGACTTGAGACATCTTTTCAAGGCAGAGTTGACAGAATTTGCTGGATGATTGGATGCTGGGTCTGAGCTAAAAGGACGAGTCCGGGGCGATTCCTACTGTTTCAGCCTAGATGAACGACAGTAACATTTACTGTGATGAGGAAGGTAAATGAGGGAAAAACACAAGGGAGGGCTGGGTGGCTGAGGGATTACTAATTCTGTTTGGACACATTACATTTATTTTTTTTAACGTTTTATTTATTTTTGAAAGAGAGAGAGAAAACAAATGGGAGAGGGGCAGAGAGAGAGGAAGACACAAAATCTGAAGCAGGCTCCAGGCTCTGAACTCTCAGCACAGAGCCGTTCTCAGGGCTCGAACTCAAGAAATGGAGGATCACGACCTGAGCGGAAGTCGGACGCTCAACCGAATGAGCCACCCAGGCACCCATGGCCACACTACATTTAAATGCCCATCAGACTTCCAAGTGGAGATGTTGAGTCAACAGTTGGGGATATGCGTCTGGAACTCAAGACAGAAAAGTTAAAGGGAAACATTTGTAAGCTGCCAGCTTAGAGACCTTATTTATAGCCATGGCCTGCCCCTTCCGTTAGGTATTGCCTTGGGAGGGGCGCCTGGGTGGCTCAGTTGGTTAAGCATCCAACTTCGGCTCAGGTCATGATCTCAAGGTAGGTGGGTTCAAGGCTGGCATCCGCCTCTGTACTCTCATAACAACTCAGAGCCTGGAGCCTGCTTCAGATTCTGCGTCTCCCTCTCTCTCTGCCCCTCCCCAGCTCCTGCTCTCTCTCTCTCTCACTCAAAAACAAACATTAAAAATTTTTTAAAAAGAAAGAAAGAAATTGCCTTGGAAGAAAGTATGCCTAGAAAGAGAATATGGCCAAGTACTGAGCACTGTGGCACTCTGAACATTCAGTGGCTGGGAAAACAAGAGAAACCTAGAGATACAGGAGAGGCCGGTGAAATGAAAGGAAACGCAGGAGAATGTGTGGCCAGGAAGCCAGCGGAAGGAAAAACATGGAGGAGAAGGGAGCAATCAACTGTGCCGTGGAAGGTGAAAACTGGCACAGACCCTCGATTTCCCAAGGGGCGGGGGAGCGGGGCAGCTTGACTGGGATGAGAGGGGGTGGAGGAAACAGCAGAACTAGAAACTTGGGAAGCAAGCATTTCATTCAAAGAGCTGGGGAGTTTTTTTGTTCTTAAATCAAAGGGAGCAGAGAAATGGGTGGGACCTAGAATGGAGATGTTTCGTCTAGGGGGTGTTAAGGACGAAATTTATCAGATGTTTGTTAAATAAATAAACACCAGGAGGAGCAAATGACAAGAGAGGAGGTGCCAATGATTTAACAGTCTAAACGTAGTTTATGCTTCAAGTTCCATATAGCTGGACACATGAGTGACGTTTACTGTGCTTCAAAAGGAGATAAGGTAGTTTTCTATACCTGCTCATCTGCTTTCCGATTTAAATGAGATCTCAAATGGAGTTGGAGAGCTTTAGAATCAACACACTATTGCAAGTGTCAAAATGTATCGGATCTTTAAATATATATATTCATATCTATAAATAAAGATTAATATATATCTTTAAGCATATAAGTAAAAAAAAAAAAATATATATATATTTAGTGTAGTTTACTGCCTAAAAACTAGCGCACAAACCAGCCAGCCCAAATAAGCTTTTAGCCAAGACACCAAATACGGAAACCAAAACCGAAAGTTTGGGCATTAGTTCCGTGCGTGTCCAGCTAAGGCTCACGGAGAACCTCTCCGCCACTTGCTTATGTTCTGAAGTTTTTCCCAGAAACAGGTTTTCCGGTCAAAAGGAAACCTATAAGCACGGGGCTGAGCGGATTCTCCCTGCAAGGGGAGGCATGCCCCCACCGAAGGGACGGCGCCGCGCCGGCCAGCCCCAAACTCGCCCCGCGCCCCGATGCCGCTCCCGCCCGGACGCCCGCTACTCGCCTGGACAGCGGCGACCCACGCGGGCCCCGCGGCTCCCTCGTCTTCGTCTCCCACTGGGCGACCCCGCGGGCGGCGACTTCCCCACAGGCCACTGGAAGGAGGGTGTCAGGCCAGGCGCGCAGGCCCCGCCCCTCGCGGGTCCCCACCCACCGTCCCCGCGCGCCGCCGGTAGGGAGCGTGCAGACCCAGCACGCAGGCCCCGCCCCTCGCGGGCCCAAGCCCACCGCCCTCGTGCGGCCCCGCGCGCAGGCCCCTCTCATCTCGAGTCCACGCCCACCGCCCTCGCGCGGCCCCGAGCGCAGGCCCCGCCCCTCGCGAGCCCACGCCCACTGTCCCCGCTTGCCGCCGGGAAGAGGAGGTGTCCGGGTCCCGCTCGCCCACTTCTTTCCCGAGCGGCGCTAGGACGCGAGCCTCCGGAGATCGGCCCCGCGGGAACCAGTCCCGCGAACCTTCCTGGGTCTCTGCGCAGAAGTAAGAGCGGAGCAGAGGACCCGCAGTGGCGCGGGGGAATGTCACCGAGGCAAATGGGCACGTTCTCTGCGCTGCTTTGTAATGTCCCCCGGACGCCCGGGCCTGGAGGGCGTGGGTGCGGTTGACGCCGGCGTGTTTGCTCCGAACAGACCTGGCTGCTGGGGTGAGGGGTGCCGCCGCTGCCTCCACGCCTCCCAGACAGGAGGTGCCCCTAAACTCTGAAGGAAGGAAACCGTGGGCTTACCCAAACCCCAGACCAGTCCCGAAACCCAGCCCCTCTCGCGGTCCCCCCGGCTGCCCCTTGGCTTCTCCTTTCCCTTTGGGGCCCCTTCACTGACTAGTGCTGTCCTCAGCTATATCCCTGGGCATGGATGCGCGGCGCATCACCCCCTCCCCGAAAAAGCCACCCTGACAGTCTCCTCTCTAGGGTCCCTTGGCCACAACCGAAACAGACTGAAACTCCACTGAATATTGAAGAGAAAGCCAAAAAAGGAAACAAGAAGCATAAAAAGCCTTCTACAGCCAAATACCCAATCCTACCCTGTCCGCCGCAAACTCCCAATCCTAGTCCTTCCCTATCAACCCAGGTCAGAAATCGTCTCCACTTCCATTTCTTTTACTTCTGTCAAATTCCTATTCCCGGCCAAAAGTTTCCTGTCTGTACTTCTTCATCTGACAACCCTTCCAATCTGCTTTTCAGTGTTTTCATTGAAATACCACTAATGACAAGTGAGATAAAACATCAAGTTCCCCATTCACCACCTACGTGGCATGCATAAATCAACCCGGAGTCACCAGTGTCAAAGGCAAATTTACATCACTTGTTCCATTTTATATTTTAAATTGCTCCCAATTTTGCACTGTTCTTCATACATATTCACGTGGCGTAGTAAGAAAACAGTATAAATTGGTTGAGTTTAATTACTTGAATTTTCTCCCCAAATTATCTCGTTACTTTCAAGAAAGTGCACCGTTTATGCTACAAATATTTAGTATTGTTTATGTACAAGGCAGGAGGGATATAGTGTCAAGAAGACACATGGTCCCAGTCCTCATGGGGATTTTGCTCTATTGTCCAAGAGATGGACAATAGATATGTAAACAAACAAGACACCTTGAGAATATTCATTGGTGGGGCACCTGGGTGGCTCAGTGGGTTAAGCATCCGACTTTGGCTCACTTTCATGATCTCACTGTCCTGGAGTCCAGCCCTGCATCGGGCTCTGTGCCGACAGCTCAGACCCTGGAGCCTGCTTAGGATTCTGTGTCTCCCTCTCTCTCTCTGCCCTTCTGCGTAGCTCTCAAAATTAGATAAACATTGAAAAAAATTGCCTTAAATATATATTTATTTTGCCTTCATTCTTAAAGACAATCAATTTTTGGGGGGCATAGAATTCTCTTTGGGCGATGATCTTGAAGACAATCTTCCCATTGTCTTCTGGCTTCCCTATCATTGCCGTGAAGAAATCAACTGTTAGTCTCTTGCTGCCTTGAAACTGGTGGAGACCTTTTCCTCTGGCTGTTTTCAAGGTTTTTTTCCTTTGCATTTGCTTTTCTACAGTTTTATTATGCTGTGTCTAAGTGAGGATCTCATTTTGTTTTTCCACTTTGGTTTTGTTTGGCCTCTTGGAGATGTGGACTCATACATCAGTTCTGGGAAATTCCCAATTATATTCTTGAGGTATTGCCTCAGCCCAATATTCTCTCTTGAGTTCTGAAGCTCCAAGTAAACACATGTTAGACCTTCTTGGTGTGTTCTTCTATTGTCATTGTTCTGTATGCTCTGTGTTTATTTTCTCTGCATCATCCTAAATAGTTTCTTCTTGTATGGCCTGTAAATCATGAAGTCATTTTTCAGCTGTCTTTAATTTGCCAGGAGACTCATTCACGGAGTTTGTAATTTCTACTTATATATATATAATATATAAATATATTTTAATGTTTTATTTATTTTTGAGAGAGCACAAGCAGGGGAAGGGCAGAGAGAGGGGGAAACAAGTTCCAAAGCAGGCTCCGTGCTGACAGCAGAGAGCCCAATATGGGGCTTGAATTCATGAACTAACTGCAAGATCATGACCTGAGCTGAAGTCAGATGCTCAGCCGACTGATCTACCCAGGTGCCCCAAAAAGATATTAAAAAGAAAAAAGATGTGAATCTGCCACAGCTGAACTGCACTACATTATTCCAGATGGGAGTTCAAAGACACAGCAAGGGACAGACAGCAAAAATGATAGCAAATATATGGGTAAATCTAAATGAATGGTGACCATACAAAACAATAATAATGACATATTTAAAGACATTGGGTGCCTGGCTGGCTCAGTCGGTTAAGCATCTGACTTCCGCTCAGGTCACAATTTCACGATTCGTGCGTTCAAACGCCACATCAGGCTCTGGGCTGACAGCTCAGAGCCTGGAGCCTGCTTCAGATTCTGTGTCTCCCTCTCTCTCTCTCTGCCCCTCCCTTGCTCGCTCGCTCTCTCAAAAAAAAAAAAAAACATTAAAAAAATAAAACAAAATAAAGAGATACAAAATACATGACAACATATAAGTTGAGTGGGAGGTAAATGGAGTCATAAGACGATTGTTAACCAATGTCAAAGAATTTAAATCACAGAGAACATATTCCCTAATAATAATGCAATTATAACTTAATTTTTTTTTAATGTTTTATTTATTTCTAGGAGAGAGATAGAGACAGCATGAGCAGGGGAGGGTCAGAGAGAGAGGGAGACACAGACTCCGAAATAGGCTCCAGGCTCTGAGCTGGCAGTCAGCACAGAGCCCGACGCGGGGCTCGAACCCACGAACCGCAAGATCATGACCCAAGCGAAAGTCGGACGCTTAACCGACTAAGCCACCCAGGCGCCCCAATGCAATTATAACTTAAAAAGCTATGTTTGAACATGAAGAACTAAAAGCCCCACATAATATCGGTGGGTCAAATTACAAGTATTAATGAGATCAGAGTATTCTTTGAAATTAATGAGTAAGTCAACTAGATATCTGCACTCGAGTATGGAGCTTGTGGTACGCACAACTCTGGGACAGCCTGTGCACTCCCTCCCCACCCCCAGATCCATACTTTTCTGAGGGCAAAATATAGAACTTGCTTCTTCCTAACAGAATAGGGCAAAGGTAAAATGATTTTGAAGATACAGTTAATATCTCTATACTGCTGGCTTTGAGTTAGTCAAAGGGGAGCTTATTCTGGGTGGTTGTGACCTAATCAGGTGCGTCCTGTCTCGCCTTTTCTGAAAGAGACTCAAAGTTGTAGAGTTTCTCTTACTGGCCTAGAGGAAGCACACAGTGGAGACAGGATCTGGAGAGGCAGCCTCTAGTGGTGGAGGGCTGCTAGGAGCTGAATTTTGTCAACCATCTGAGTTTTGGAAGAGGACCCCAGGCTCCAGCTGAGAACACAGTCCAGGTGAGTACTTGATGCAGTCTTGTGAACCTAAGGGCCATGCTAAGCTGTGGACAGATACAGTGAGATAATAAAAGTATGCTGTTTTATTTTTAGTTTTTTGAGAGTGCGTGCTCAGCATGGAGCCTGATGTAGGGCTTGATCCCATGACCTTGGGATCATGAGCTGAGCCGAAATTGAGTCGGGACACTCAACAGAGCCACCCACATGCCCTGAAAATTATTTTCATTACCATAATCTTGCTTATCTCTAGTGGGGGAATTTAGGGATGTGATCAGGGAAGGATACCCGAAAGCCTCGAGGGTGTTGGCAATATGGCATTTAACCTGAGCATTGGTGTTATGATTGTGTGCAGTACATTATTTCTCTTTATATACATCTAGTAACTTTTTTTTTTAGGCTTTATTTCTGAGAGAGAGAGAGAGACAGCATGAGCAGGGGAGAGGCAGAGAGAGAGGGAGGCAGAATCCAAAGCAGGCTCCAGGCTCTGAGCTGTCAGCACAGAGCCCGACGCGGGGCTCGAACCCATAAACCATGAGATCATGAGCTGAGCCGAAGTCGGACGCTTAACCGACTGAGCCACCCAAGCGCCCCGTAACTTTTTTTTAAGAGCAGGCTTCTTTCTATTTTTTTAAGGTCATTTATTTTGAGAGAGAGGCAGAGAGAGAGAATCCGAAGCAGGCTCTGCACTGTCAGCACTGAGCCAGACGAGGGGCTCGACTCTATGAATATGAGATCACGGCCTGAGCCAAAATCAAGAGTCACTTAACCTACTGTGCTACCCACGCACCCCTAATAACTCCTATATTATGTCCGATTTTACCATTTTAAGTTTAAAATTTTGTTACAGACAACAGAATACCAATTCTTAAAATATAGAGACACCTGGGTGGCTCCGTTGGTTGAGCGTCCAACTTTGGCTCAGGTCATGATCTTGCGGTTTGGGAGTTTGAGCCCCATGTTGGGATTGCTCCTGTCAGTGCAGATCCTTCTTTGGATCCTCTGTCCCCCTCTCTGTGCCTTCCCAACTTGAGCTCGCTCAAAAATAAACATGTAAGTGTGTGTATATATATATATATTTTTATATGTTTAAAATAACTGAAATAGTCTTAAGTGGATGGTGGGAGGAGTGGATTTTATTCTTTGAGCCATTATTTCTCAAATTCTTTTGCGGTCTTTTCTCTTTAAAGGAGTAATAATCATTATTAATTAAAAACAGATTGTGACAGACCAGTGTTACTTCCAGTAGATCTTGACTTAAGCGAGTAATAGGATTTCTAATAATATATTGGGGAGAAATGTGGACGGAAAAACGGCACATTTGGTGGTTTAGGATAACATCCTGGTACTTTATTCCAGAATTCGGAAATAACCATGAGAAGTTAGACCAAACATCACTTCTATTACTAACAAAGTTAAAAAACGTGGTTTTTCTTTTCAGTATGTAGCAATGGGGACTGGCCAATAGTCCATGTATTTCTGAATTGGAGATTATTCCACATAATCACTGGCCTACCTAGACAACCGTGAGCTTCCCCAGTGGGGAGACAGAGTTAAACTCCGTGGGAAGTAAATGTTTTGATCTATAGATTATTTTTCTTCTATTTATATTCTTTTTACCTTGAAATGCCTTGATTCTCGGAGTCCATTCCACTTCACTATTTACATAACATGAGCTGCTTAAAGAGCTACCCTGTCTCCCCCAACTAAGGTACGTTCCTGGTGGTCACAGTACCTTGCTCATTCTTGAAACTAGGATTCTAGCAGACTGTTACGCTAATGATAAACCCTTTCACGTTCCTCTTACCTATTACTTAAGAGCCATAAGAACAGAGGCTGCAGCAAGAACTTCAGAAACTACAGGAAGATCAAGAGACTAGAACTGGACCACTGAGGAAAATACAGCATTTATTAAGTGTGCTTGTATATGGTGGGCACTGATTCTGTTTCATAAACATTTCATTTTATTCTCTTTATAGCAGCTACTACCTTAGTGACAGGTGAAGATGCAAATACAGTTAAAATCACTTGTGTGAGGTCACACAACTATAATTTGAACTTGGCTGTGAGTCCAGAACCAAAGCCCCGAACTGCTTTTGAGCTATACTAAAACCAAGAGAGCTAAGCCATCCGAGGTCTCTCCTTAGCTGGTGTATGTCGGGCAGTAATGCACGGTAGTGCAGGAGAAGACCCCCCGGGGCCAGAGCACCCTGCTTCACGCTCAGACTGTGCTAGTAATACTGAGATACGGGGAAGTTTCTTAACCTTTCAATGCCTTCACCATTTTGTCTGTGAAATGGGAAGAAAATCCTTGGTGCACACGACTATCGCTAAGATGAAATGTGTCCATGGAAGTAAAATGCTTAGCGCAGCACCTGGGCCCAGGGGAAGCGTTCAGTAAATACCAACCTCTGTTTACTGCTATGTTTCTGCTACTTTTGTAGCATCTTGCCCAGGAACCCAAATGTCCCCTGTGATTACATTATGAGGGGAAAGAAAAAATTGAGCACAGCTGGTATACAACCTAAGGTTAATTTACTTAAAAACCGAGCTTTTTTAGGGACCTGAGGACTTGACTCCCTTTCACCGGAAACATTTGGTGAGAAAATGCAAAGATTTAAAATGAGGTACTTTAGAGGTGGTATTCCTCTTCTTTATTATTCTTTCTTGGCTAGTCCCTGATATGTTTAGACGAAATACCCAATAAAAATCATTCTCTCGCTACAAACTGTATTATTCCAAGCGGCAAGTTTTCAAGGAGCTTTAAAAACACAAATCCTGACAGAAACAAGTGAAGTCGGTTTGTTGAAAGAGTTTTTATTCTACAAGAATTGATTGGTGCAATCCTGCAGGACCAACACGTGTTTAGAGAAATTTTTCTTTTCAATAGTAAATGAAAACCCCCTTTGAATTATTTATATATTAACTTGTTTAACTTCTGAAAACAATAGTCACAGGCTCTGCTTTGTCCTATAGAACTGCAAATTTTACACAAACTGAAGCAAAAATGGATGTACAGAGATTTAAATGAGATCCTCCAGAGAATAAAACCGCTCTTCGGGTCACTGTATTTTCAAAGTTGATTATCATCAAGCCAGGATGAGGGCTGTGAACCACAAACCGTTTGTCTTCAATAGAAAAAACCATGTTTCAATGAATAAGGAAAGTAATATCTTAAATTGGATCTTCACACAGTTGATATTTTAGTAATAAACTTGTGTATCAAGTTCCTTCCTATTACTTATTTTACTTTAAAAATATATACAGCTAGGGATGTTAAATATATACTCTGAGTCATATGTCTAAACATAAATATTTGGGAAATTCAAACTGTTCCAACAAGTCATGAAAAGATTAAAGAAACGAGATCCGCTACAAATTATATGGCAGGAGGAAGAAAAAAGAAGTCCCTAAATGTTTGGGTCTGGATAGATAGGTATTTTCTAATTTTGACATACACAGCCAGTGGAGTACAGACAGCCGTCAAACTTGAAAAGCTTCCAGACAGACTCAACTACACCTGTGCTATTTTCTACAACAGGAAACAGCAGTGACTTCAAAAATTTCAAGACAGCTGGACAGTTTCACCAAAAGCTATTTGTAGTAATCGTCTAGTATCACACGGTTCTGGTAGGCGCAGACTGAATAACTGCCTTATCTAAAGCCAAACGGGGCTCACTGATGATGCCTGACAGGGATTAATTATGGTGTCGGTATCGGAACAGGACGGAGCAGACAGGCAAGCGGAGAAGGACATATAACGCACGCCCACGCGTATCAATCACGTTATCACTAGTGTTTCATACGCAGGGACACGTAGGAAAGCCGTGGGACAGTCCCAATACAGGAACCCAGAGATACATGCGCAAAATCGTCAACTTCAGTTCCTAAGTCCACTGCTGAATAACTTCAAGAGTAGCTATTTGGTCTTCAAGGATTTGAGAATGAAAGGGGTAGAAACGTGTTCATCCCTCACTGCGCTGTAGCATCTGAAATTAGCAAGCATGACACCTCTGAATTTGTTTTGCTCTTACGGTGCAGAAGAGGGTCTACTTTTTGAAAACGTTTAAAGACAGCTTCACATTAAGAGTTAACGTCTAGACCACAGTGGTTAAGTGACTAGAACTGCCATCCAATTAGCGTTTTAGGGGACAGTCTTGTTCAGCACTCCTCACTCTGGGGGGGGGGAGGCGTGGCAAAAAGCAGCTGTGAAAAGTTTTTTTTTTAAACAGCAGAAAAGCTTGAAACACCTACACAGTTTTGCATGTGTCTTGTATTCTATTCCGGAACACCTCAACAAAATCTTATTTCAATCAGCTCAGTCTATACGAGTTATAAAATACAAACACAGTCTAAACCCTATAGCATATAGGATATGCACTGTTTAATGTTCATTAAATGCAGATCAATCAATGAAGATTATCAAATAAGAAACACACAGCATTCTGAAGTTTTAAATCGTCTTAGGGTCGCTAACCAGAAATGTACAAATTACATGTGCAAGACAAAAAACAAACCCAAAATACACAAGAAAAAAGAAAGCATAAAACCCAAAGAAATTAACTTCTCAGTGCAGCACACCCTCAGGATAAGATAAATGGCACTTTTACAATACAAATGTGACAACGGTCAATTTAAGTCGGGAATGGCTCAGACGCTGAAGCCACATTAGGGCAAGAACCAGCCAATCAAAATGTTAAAGCAAAACAGATCAACTTTTTTCTTTATAAAAGCACTGAAAATGTAATGTGTGCAGATGACTCACTCAAACTTTTCTCATTTCATTTGCCTCCCTATGTTGAATCTTAGGTTATTCCGTAATTATGCTACCTGTTTTAACGGTCTGATTCTTAAGGCCTGTATAAACTCTGTGACGTCTTTGAAACCTACTTTTTTCTCTGTGGTAAGAACGTCTTCACAGAAGAAAGAACGTATCGGCTTATAAATCACAGAATGAAGACAAAAAATGTAAGTCTGACAGTTTCCAAGCTAGTAGGAAATAAATTATACCATGATCCATCAATTTAAAATTATATCAGTATTAACTAACATTTCCACAGTGGCTCCTCCCCTCACCCCACGCCCAAATTAAACATTGCAGATGAGGGCCTGGTCCAATTAATCACATTTGGTTTTCTGAAAAACAAAACAATTAAAAGGCAATTTTCTTCCTCCACAACACAAAGACATTAAATGGAAGGTTTTTAAAATATCCACTACCTATAAGAAAAGTACTTTTTAAACGACTAAAAGGAATCAAAATACCAAAGGTTAGTGTGCGAAGATATAAACAACCAAGAAAAGATCATTGGTGCTGAATATTTAACACGAAGAGCCCAAAATAAGTTCCGAAGTTTTTCTACCTTTACAAATTAAAAAAGGTGTCCTTTCCACAGTTTGGGGATATGCGCTGTACATCCCCCCCAACAAGTGTATGAGTAAGGTTTAAAAATGTTGCCAATATTAAGTTCTTCAGTACCTAAAATTAACCAGAGGACAGCAATATTATGGTGGCAAATGGTGCATTGACTCGCAGAACACGGTTATGATCCAACGCGAGTTGTGGTGGTTCTTTTATCTGAGAAAAAGCTCTTCAGAAGAAATACCTGCCCTATGCTAACCACCAGGAGAATGAGGGCTTCTCCTACTGACCAATAGGCCACTCTTGTGTTCAGGTCTTCAGCTCGGCTTCGCCCTTGGGCTTCTCTCAAGCGGAAATGAGTCTGATAGTCGATGACAGACTTCAGAGCTTCGTGAATTGACACACAGGCAGACTCCATCTAAAGAGAAACAGGTGCAGTTAGTCCGAGGGGCACTTTTGGCACTATCTAGCACATTCACCTTTCAATTAGATCTCAACAACTCATTTGATGAGCAGCCACTAGACTGGCACTCGCTCACGGACGTCAGTAGCTCTGGCAATGCGACCGGCCCTTGTATCCACTCCCGCCAAGACAAGTGGGGAGGCCGCAGACCCGGCGAGGCAGCGGCGGGCCCCACACTGGAGTCAGCGGGGGCACCTGTAACATGACAGAGGGAACACTACGCTGACAGGATCAGAAATACTGATCGGTTATGGTAGCTGGTTACAGAACTTCAAGGTCAGGCCCCTCCAAGAGGATGAATTAGGGGGAAGAGAATGGCTGGTCAGAAAATGTGATCAGTAAGGAGTACAAACCAAAATCCAGAGATACACAAAAATAAACCAAGTGTTGACACAAAGTTAACCATTTTAAAAGCAGTCGAGTCTGAAAGTGATAGGTCGGAGCATCAGTGTCTTTCTTTAATTTATCTATTTGCTACACATGTCTCCTCCCTCCTGCCAGGCAACCAATACATATGTTCTCAATGGGAGGAAGTTCAGTTTCACTGTGTAATCCGCTTGCGAGCCTGCATCTCAGGACACCTTACCTTTCTATATATTCATCACACTTTCTGCTTTGAGAAGGGTTAAGAGTCTAATTTTTTTGTCTGTACAGCAGAGTTTAATATTTTTCTATTGTTAGGGGCGCCTGGGTGGCTCAGTTGGTGAAGCGTCCAACTTCGGCTCAGGTCATGATCTTGTGGTCCATGCGTTCGAGCCCTGCATTGGGCTCTGTGCTGACAGCTCAGGGCCTGGAGCCTGTTTCAGATTCTGTGTCTCCCTCTCTCTCTGCCCCTCCCAGCTCATGCTCTGTCTCTCTCGGTCTCAAAAATAAATAAACGGTAAAAGAAATTAAAAAAAAAAAACAAAAAACTTACTCCTAGGGATGAAATACATGCACGGTTATTATATTATCTTCTTCTACATCACAAACCACGTATTAAGAATTTTAGGGGCGCCTAGGTGGCTCAGTCAGGTAAGCGGCCAACTTCAGCTCAGGTCAAGATCTTGCGGTTCTTGAGTTCGAGCCCTGGGCTGACAGCTCGGAGCCTGAAGCCTGTTTCAGATTCTGTGTCTCCCTCTCTCTCTTCCCTCCCCTCCTGTCTCTCAAAAATAAATAAATGTTAAAAAAAAAAAATTCTAAAAACAACCTAAGGGGTTTTCCCCCTTCTCACTAAGGGAGGAACTGCTGACCTATACTGTGCACGCCAGACAAAGGAAAAATATGATACAGGACAGTGATGAGGGCCACAGAGTACGGGAAGCAGGGGGAGGAAGGTGATGAACATTACTACTTTCCTGTATTCTGGAAAATTCTCCAATAAATCAGGCTTATCTTAGCTACCTTCCAATTTCCGTTTCTGCTCCTCTCTCTCCTTTTGGACCCCAAAACTGTCAAGCCATCTCCGTCACTACAATACCTGCGTGTCACAAAGTTATCTGGACTCCTCTCTTCCAAAGTGGTTATGACTTTTACAACTTCTTTCCTCCTTTCACTAATAAGTCCACAGAATCTCTCAAAATATTCTGGACTTTTTTTTTCCGTGAAGGAATAGAGATACTAGAAAAGAATTCACACATTTAATAAAGTTTCTGCCAAAGTAAGCAGGAAAGAAATCATTTATAAAAATATTCCATTTAAAGTTGCTTCTAAAAAGTGTGAGAAATTATGTGGGCCTCAAATTGCATGTACCTATTAGATATAAAGTCAAATGTTTTTGCTGTTCTTGTTTTGTTGAGGCCCCTAAGATTCAGATTAGGAAAAGTGTGCTAAAATGAATGATTTCTAATTTGTGGTAGGAGGCTACGGAGATGGTTCTAGGCTATATCTACCTCTCACGCATTCTCAATGTGGGACGGAGGCTAACCCTGGGAAGTGTGCATAAAAGCAAGGATCTGACACAAATTCAGCATGTTTAAGGATTCCTCAAAGCCCGACACGGAGTAAGGATTAAGAAGTGCTGGAGGAAAGAACATCACAGAAATAAAGGGACTAGCTGCATGAATTCGTATCATTTTTGAGATGTTTCCCTTTTTTGCCTACATCTTCTAAAGAGAAATGTTTCTATTTAAGTTCACGTTCAAAAAGTTCATATTCCAAAGAGCATAGTACAGTGAATCCCCAGGTCAATAATTAACACGTGGGTAACCTTGCTTCACCGGTACACATTCCTCACTATTTTCTCCCCACACCAATTAATTTAAGGCAACTGCCTTATCTGTTATCATTTCAGATATACTTTTATTCTTTACATTCATTTCTAAAAGGCAACAACACTACACTAAAAACCAGAACCCTGGTAGCATTAGCACATGTAACACAATTGAAAAAAAGTTCCTTAGCGTTTTCAATATAAATTCAGTATTCAAATTTCCCCAAGTATCTCAAAAGTTGTTTCTAAGTCAGAATCCAAACAGCTTCGACCCCAACTGTCTGGCTGAGGGGTCTTTCAAGGGTTCTTGAATCTTTTGGTTCTCTTCCTGCCTTCCCTTCCCACTTGCTGAGGAATCTGGGTCCTCTGTCCTGGTTCATTTCCAACTTCCTGGACGTCGTGACCATATCTCCATGGTGTTCCTCCACTATACTACTATAAATCAGTAGTTGGGGCAAGATTTGAAGAAATTCAGAGGTCAAGTTCTGGGTGGGAACACCTCCTCGGCAATGTTGTGCACTTCATTAATGCGTATTACCAGAACACGCACAAGGCCTAGTTCTCTCTCCATCTGGAAATGGCCATTAGATTTGGCACCACCAGTGTGACCCAGCCACGGAACAACTCTCCCCCAGCTTTTCACAGTGACTAGCCAGCAGTGACTGGTAACACTGTCCACTCCAGATCCATCATTTCATTAACAGGTGAAAAATGGTGACTTACTAAAACTCTATAACTTATTCTGCATTTACCACCAGCTACGTTTATCTACTTTAAGATGTGTACAACTGTGTTGTACACAGGAGGTATGAGGGACTCATGAGCTTTTCAAAAGTAGGAAAATTAGACTGAGAAAAGATAAAAAATGTGATATGAATAAAGGAGATTGACGGCTACTAACTGCTTTATTACCACTCAAGTGTTATATTTACCTACTTGGTTTGTAGAGCAAGCTACCTTCTTATCCAAATTAAAATTCACGAAGCTTCAGTTACAAAGGGCCCCAGAGGAAAACCTTTTCACAAGGCAAAGCTCCATTCACACAGCATGGTAAAATAAGAGAACATTTCCAAAAGTAAGTGTGTTTGAATACATGCTGTGAATGCTCCCAGTAGGATTATGAATTAAGGCTCCCGCATGTTATTACTGAGGAGGACACTTGTTGGGATGAGTGCTGGGTGTTGCATGAAAGCGATGAACCACGGGAACCTACCCCAAAAATCCAGAGCGCACTTTACACACCGTATGTTAGTCAATTTGACAATAAAGCATATTAAAAAATAAAAATAAAACAAATATTAAAAATAAACATTAAAAAAATTTTTAAATAACAAATAAAAAATATAAAAATGGCCTCTGTAACCACATGACTTTGGCCAACAACCTAACTAGAACCTGGGAACAATGAATTACCACTTTCAGGGCTTAAATAGATAGGAAGTCATTCCTTCAGACACCTGAGTATCTCTTAGATAAGATCTAAGCTCATACGATGCTTAAGCTGGAACTAAAATGGCCCTTCTTGCCACGTGAGCAGCATCTGTCCACGGACATTCAATTTCTTTCCTTCTCGTTCTCTCGTTTAGCTCTTCTTCAACATAAAGTCCAACTTACCTTCCTTAACTATTTTTGTTAGATGGCTTACCACTGATATAATTAATATATTAATTAAGACATCCCATTGTTTCTGGTTATACCAACCTGCCGGGTTATGGCAGTCATATTCCTCACAAACTACAAAAAAACGCTTCAGAACGCTGGAGCATTGTTCAGTCTTCCTAAATTTCCTTTCCCACTGAATGGATCCTCCTCCCTACACTTAAAAGTTCATCAAATCCTTTAACAGTGGTCTCCACCAAAAACGTCTCAAGTTCTCTGTGAAAGATCTCATCTACTTTAAGAATTAAGACAGATCTTAAAGACTGTGTGAAAGTCTCAAAGCTCTGTGTTCATCAGTGGGTGAATGCATAGGAAATTATGCTTTCCCTCCCTTTAAACACACCATTATATCGCTTTTCATTTACCTGGGTAAGAGCACTGACTCGGTTCTCACTAGGAAACAAAGGCGGGTCTTCTCCAACTTGAAAATCAAAGTAGACAGTTTTGTGTGTGAAAGTGGAAAATTCATTGCTGAAACAAAATTTGTATGTCCCGTTTTTGGAGGCTGTGAAGGTAAAACTATCATACTGTTTCTTCATCTCTTTGTACAACACGTTACCATCAGGGTCTTCTAATCGACAGTCTACATCATAGTGTCCACCAGTAATCACCTATGAAGACAGAGAAAAAAGGAAGAGATCACTGCAGCTCATGAGTCTGAGAGAGTAACCAGATTTCCTGTTAAAATGGTAATACTATCAGCAATGGACTTCTACTGTCACAGGCAATTTCACGTTTCTTTTATTTCTAGCAGTGGATGGAATCTGGGGGACAGATTTCAGTTCAACGCAAGATTTACAGGAACTGAACAAATTTCCTCACAATGGGAGCGAGGAACTACCTAACCAGCCAAACAACTGTTCTAATTAACGCAGGTCTCTTATTAAATCACTTGAATCTTCGAACAAACCTACAAGAGGGTTTGTGCCCTCCACTGGACAAACTGAGAAACTGAGTTAAGTAACCTACCCAAGACTGCTCATCTAGTAAAAGGCAGAGACAGAATCTGAACTCCAAAGTCACACTCCTGACCCTTATACTCACTGCCATGAAGAATCTCCCTTCCCTAAATTTTCTCCCGTTTCCTATCAGCACCATACAAGCACACTTATGGATGGCACAGTGCAGACTGGTCCTTAGCATGACACCACAGGCCTATTTCTATCATAGAACTTAAATTCATTTTAATACCAAATTTAGGTTTGTTTCCTAAGTTCTTCTCTAGGTCAGTTATATGGAATTTGATACACCTTTTGTTGTGAACAGCATTATGAACTGAACAGGCCTGTGGGCTACTTAGTCTAAGAGTACCCCCATTTTACACATTTGTTTCCCACAGAAATATCAATGATTAAACTATACTCTTTATACACTTGTGATTGAAACAAAAAGAAAGCAGAAGCAAACAAATCTTTTGCTCATCTGGAAGCTTGTGTTTAAGGGCAGGCATATTTGAAAGGAAAGCCAGGGAGGGTAAATGAAATATTCTGAAAAGGATTTTGGAGTTATTTTCAAGGGCTTATGCTTAATCAGTTAGAATCCAAAGGCCCATTTGGGTTGTACAAATGAAGCGGGGGGGGGGGGATTCTTCCTGAGGTAGCTAGACAAGCATAATAAGAGAGAAAAGGAGAAAAAGATGAAAGAGGAGAAAGGCCTCCTCAGAGGACAAAGAAGTGGGAGAAAGAGGGAGGGAGACATAAGAAACAAAGGGTGCAGACTAAAAAACTGGGAAAGGAGGGAGGAAGAGACATGGGCTTGAGGGTTCCCAACCCCCACGGGAGCGGGTGGCACAAGCCTGTACTTTCAAGCGTCAATCCTCCTGCTGAGCAGAATAGTGCCATTCCAGATCCGGAGAATAGAGATCAAACCTCGCACTTCAAAGAAGGATCAGCTGCTAATGCAACCTTTTGTCACTTAGGAAATACGATGAATAACTGAACTATGTTACAAGATCATTTTGATAATAAAATGAAATATAATTATGTACTTGGGCAACTGTACAAATATGTAAAATTAACATACACATGATGTGTCGACTTAAAAAGTCTTATCAACTGGGCATTCACCGCTCCTCCAAATCTCAACACCCTTTCCTAGAGGTGAAGTCATGACTCCGTTTTTATGTACCTTATTCTTCACACATGGCCGCTGTACTGTGAAGGGTCCAATATGCACAAAACTGAACAGGACCAGAACTGATGGCCATGCCGCGCTTCCTCCAGCAAACCTCCAAGCAAATCATCTTATTTTAGGTAAAAAGTGCCCCTTTACCATCTGTCTGGCCCCGTAAAGTGGAAACTGGGCATCGTTTCAAACGAAGTCTCCCTACTTGTCCAGTTAGTCACAGAGATCTCTCTCCCTCAAATTCATCCCATCTCTTCCATTTCTAATCCAAGGTCTAGACAGGATTGAGGCCACAACTTCCTAAAAGGTCTTCCCACAACCCAGTCTCCCTTCTCTCGAAACCCAGGGTCCTCGGCCTCAGTGAATTTAGGGCTGGATAATTTTTTGCAGGGGGGGGGGGACTGCGTGGCCCTGGGCCCTATGGCACATTTAGCGGCCTCTCAGGTTTCCATTCACCAGAGGCCAGTAGAGCCGCCCCTCCCCACATGTCTTCTGGGGGGGGGGATGGGGAGACCTAGCCTCCACATCCCCCATTTGCTTAAAACCTGGTGATAACTGGGGCCCTGGGTGGCTCAGTCGGTTAAGCATCCGACTTCGGCTCAGGTCATGATCTCACAGTTCGTGGGTTCGAGCCCCGCATTGGCCTCTGTGCTGACAGCCAGCTCAGAGCCTGGAGTCTGTTTCAGATTCTGTGTCTCCCTCTCTCTCTGACCCTCCCCTGCTCACGCTGTCTCTCTCTCTCAGAAATAAATTTTAAAAACATTAAAAAAACCAAAAACCTGGTGATAATTCCTGGGGCCTACAGTAAAACCCCAACCTGTTAACGCTGCCATCCACTCCCCTGCATCTCCTCAAGGTGGCCTCCACACCTCTTTTATCGCCTTTCTTATTCTGTGTTCCCAAAACAGCAGACTGCCAGAAGTCCTCAGAACAGGTCTTTTGTTTTCCATCTGCATGAACAGTGGCGAGTTAAACACTTCCTGTTTGCTCAAGAATCACAGGACCCAAAACGACGATGCTTACAGATCTATAGCTTATGACAGGAACAGAACGGAATATAAAATATCACAGTCTAAAGGTGTCCAACAGAAAGGGGTCAGGGAGCTGAGGCGTGGGATCCTTTGTCCTGCCTCTGTGAGAATGGCAGTCAAACGCAGACTCTCGGACTAGGAACCACCCAAGTGTGCAGGGAACACCTTGGAACCGGTGAGCCCAAAACAGAGGCCTGGCAGACTGTTCTACACGTTGCCTGTCACTCAGGCATACCCCTGCTCTATTACCAGCCTCAACACCACAGCCTTTTGGGGGGCAAAGCAGGGGGGATGTCTCACCAAGACCAGGTACAAATCATTGACCTCACTGTCACCGATCCACAGTGCTGACAAACTGGCACAACCCCCCACCGAAAGCCCTTGGACCCGCAATTACAAAGCCACACTATTACTCACTGCACTCCAGCGTGGGCTCAAGCTGAGTCTCACAAACACAATCTACCTGCCTAGGACGTTCTTTCCCCTCTGCCGTCTTGTAGAGGGGCTCCTCTTTCTTCTAGACACAATTCAAACAGCCACTTGGCTACGCTTCTTGGGATGGGCCCTCTCCCTGTGCCCAGCACTGTACCTACTGTATACCTCCACTGTATGACTACATGTATCCATGTAAGCTCCCTGAGGTCAAGGTCAGTCTTCCTGACCTTTGGGAGGCAGTGTACATAAGAAAGGAGTTAAGAATTTAACCTCCAACTGCATACTGATTATGCCACTTGCTAGTTTTATGACCTTGGGTATAAAGCTACCAAAGCCTTGGCTTCCTTAGTAAGGAAGTAAGAACTCGCTCCATTTCCTATTGAGGTGTCCTGAGAATTAAGTAACAAGCCTGAAATGCTTGGTGTGCTGTCTGCTACCTAACGGATGCTAACTTTTTAGCCCATAACAGTAATGGTAGTGTTCTTGGCACCAAGCACAGGGTCTGAGGCTAACTCCTGACATACTCCAACATTTTTATATTACAATTCCTGCTGCCATCTTTTCTGTCCCCTGGTTCTAATCCATGAAGTTAAACAAACCGAAGGGTGATCCTGAGCCTACCTTCCCTCACTCGCAGAAGCCAAATCATCAACAGGTCCTGTTGATTTCACCTACTGACTTCTCTCCAATCCTTTCACTTTTCTCCTTCAAGCTACCACCCTAGAAGCCTGGATCACTCAAATAGTCTCCTACAGCCATTCTCCAACACCCTATTCTCTATCTGCACAGGTGAATATCCTTACAGCTGCCAAAAACACGTGGATCATATCACTGCATTGCTTACAACCCTCTGATGGCTTTCCCATACTCTCAGGAAAAACTAAAATCCTTAACTAGGCCAGTAAGGCACATGGTCTGGCCCCTGACCTCCTTTCCTCTGGCTCCTTATTCCCAACTATACTGGACCTCAAATTCCCAGTCACTCATCACTTTTGCAAAGGCTATTCCCTCACTCCCCCTTCCTTAACAAAGTATGTAAAACTAATCCTTTACAGTTCAGCCTAAAATCACTTCCTACAGGAAGCCCTTGTAGATCCCAAAGATCAAACCTTTTATCTTCAATTTTCTGCCTTAAAAAAAATTTTTTTTTAATTCTGAGACAGCGAGCAGGGGAGGAGCAGAAAGAGGGAGTGAAAGAATCCAAAGCTGATGGCGAGGAGCCTGATAAGGGGCTCAAACTCACGAACCTGAAGATCACAACCGGAGCTGAGATCAAGTCAGGCACTTAACCGACTGAGACACCTGTTCTCTCAAAAAAAAAAAAAGAAAAAGAAAGGCTGTTGTAACAAACTTAAGAAAGTACATTCTGTTAAAGTTTCTTTTCTATAAAATCCCAAAGAAGAAAAGGAGCCTCTCACTGATCAGAGCTATTCACTCAACACCTTTGGCAGATGGTCATCCAGCCTCATCTGGAGAGCTCTTCCTATGACGGGGACAGCATTTAGCAAAAATCCTAACATCAATGAAAAAACTGAAAAGCGACAGAATTAGATATTGGCAGGACTTCAAAAGTGATTGAAGTGGAGGCGTGAATCAGAGAGCAGGGGGCCGGGCACGGAGCACTACAGAACAGGAAGAAAGAACTTCTTTTTAAAAGGACAGTCTTTCAGGGGGGAAAGTTCAATAGGCCTTAAAACGAAGAACGTTTTGCAGCCTAGAAGGAAAAGCCACAGGAAGCATTTCTGGAACTCCCGTATCCTAGTATCTGGTCTAAAATGGCTCTGGCCCAAGGTTTGTAACAGGAAAGGCAGCTACCTAGAGGCGATTCTTGACTCAGCCCAAGAGTGGAGAAACCCAGACAGGAGCGAGTCACCAAGCAGGCTGCAGCCCCGACCCCGCAACTGGGGCTGGGGCCCCTGGACCTTCAGAGCTTGCAGTACCTGGAACTCGAGGGTGCACTTGGTGCCCTGCGTGATGTCCTCGTAGAAACACTGCTTGGCATTGTCCGGCAGCTCGAAGGTGATCTCGGAGGCGCTGCCGGGCCCCGGCACCAGCAGCAGCAGCAGCGCGAGCAGCGTGCAGCTCCAACGGCCCGCGGCGGCCGCCCTGCGCTGCGCGGACCCCGGCCCCGGCATCCCGAGGCGACGGCGGCGGCCTCAACGGAGCTGCGGGGAGGCGCGGGGTCAGGTCTGCGCGGACTCACCACGAGCTGCAGGCCTCAGTCCGGGCCGCCCGCGAAGACGCACGGCAGCGTCGCTCCGAGCCGCGGAGAGATTCGCGATGAGCGGCGAGCCGCCGGGAGCGGGCGAGGGGTGCGGCGAGACCGGGGCCTGGGGCCGGGAACGACCTACAAAGCGGAGAGAAAGCCGGCAGAACACTGGCGGAAAAGGCCTGAGATGGCCGGAAGTGGGGCTCGCGCCTGGTAAAAGGGGGCGGGGTTTGAGGCACCTGCTCCAGCAACCCGGATGTACTCGGCCCGGGCGGTGCGGAGAGGCGTTGGAGTGTGTACGTGGAAGCTCGCGAGACGACAGCGTGGTCTCCGTCGGCGCCACAGGCGAGGGGCGGGGCCAGCGTAGTGAGCGTGGCGGGGCGGGGCCAGAAAAAAAGGGTGTGTCCAGGCGGTGTCTAGATAGGGCTTGTGGCCGGGTAGGTACAGCTCAGTGAGCGTGAACTACAGGCTTTCTTGCTCTCCTGAGAGCTGATCGCTGGGGACCTCCGAGGGGGTGATGAAGACCGCACTTTACCCTAGGGGACTAATAACTGGGAGTAGAGCACTTTGCAACTTGCTGAGAGTTTTCTTATAAATAATAAATATTTGGGGGAAGCAGTTTAGCCAGGAGCTTGAATTCTGGGACCCCTACACTACAGAGCTTTTAATCCCTGTTCTGCTACTTACTGGCTGTGTGACCTTGGACCAGTTGCATAACCTCTCTACTTCAGTCTTCGCAACTGTAAAATGAGGATAATACTACCTAACCCAGACGATTATTACAAGATCTTCATCTTTGGAAAGAGTACCCAGGGGAGAGGTCATCATATAGTAGACACTCAGTAAGCTTTTGTTAAATAAAAATAAACATCAGTTGAGGGCTCCTTATCAGTAGGCACCGTGCTAAGCCTATTACCCAGGTCTTTTGATCCTTCTCTCGTAAAGGAAGGTATTATGACACCTGTTTCACTGATAAGGAAAATGAAGATCTAAAAAGTTGAGTAATTTACGTATGATCACACACTGGTTTGTGTTGGAGTGCTTAAAAAAATAGTACGTAATATTTATTAAAAATAATAGGTGTTGATTTATTAAATTATACATTTTCTTGTGCATAAAAACCCAAATTAGGTATCATCCCATTTTTAAATAAATGGCCATGGTGAGGCTCGTGCACTTCAAGATGATCAGCAGAGGGTGGTAGAGTGCTTTATGAAAAGTAAATACAGATCCGGTGGGAGGAGCCAGCCGGGGAAGTGAGGGAGGTGGGTGCGGAGGTCCCGTTGGGGTGAAGGGTATCGATGACGGGGGAGATGCAGGCCAGCCAGTGGCCTTTGGAGGCCCAAACCCTCGGCACTGGGGAAAGGAGCTCTAAGGAGCTAAGATCTGGGGGAGATTGAACTTTCCTGAGAACTGGACCGGAAACAGAAGCATCATTTGTGTCTGTGATTGGAAGGAAGAATGAATTTCAAAGAAGGGTTCTATTTTCTGACTCGTGAGTTTGCACAAGGACACACCACCGGTTAGGCAAAAGTGTAACAATGCGAGATGTTGGTGAGCTGTATGTAGAGTAACAAGATCCCTCATGCACTGCTAGCGGATACGTGAAGTGATACAAATCACTTTAAAAGATAGTGTGCCATTACCTATTAAAGCAGAAGAAACATACATATACCTAGAAATTCCACTTTGCCTCTACTTTAAAGTGTATACTTTAGGAAAGCGTGGGTGGCTTATTGGGTTAAGTGTCCGACTTGCTCAGGTCATGTTCTGGTGGTTTGTAGGTTCGAGCCCCACATCTGTCTCTGTGCTGACAACTCAGAGCCTGAAGCCTGCTTCGGATTCTGTGGCTCCCTGTTTCTCTGCCCCTTCCCCGATCATGCTCTGTCCCTGTCTGTCTCAAAAATAAATAAACACTAAAAAAAAAGTTTAAAAAAAGTGTATACTTTGGAGCAGTTCTTCTCAAAGTGTGCTCCAAAGACCCCCTGGGGACCTCTGAAACCCTCCCAGGGGGTCTTAGATTATGGGCATGAGGCTTTTATTCATCATGTATTTCAACTAAAACAACAAATAATGGATTGAATGTAAAAGCAGATGAGCACCCAGCTTCTTTTATGAATCTAGATATTAGAGAGATTTACAAAAATGTATAGCAATGTCACTCATCACTAAATTCTTATTTGGAAAATTTATATTTTCTACTACATATAGGTATATATAAGTACATATATTTAATATATATAAATAAAATGTATACTATAAATAGGAAGCTCTTTTACACTTAGAATGTAATTTATGTTGATGCGTATAGTAGGTTGAATTGTGTCCCCCCAAAAAACACATGTCTAAGTCTTCACATCCCAGTGAACGAGACCTTACTCGGAAATAGGGTATTTTTGCAGAAGTAACTAAGGATCTTAAATTGAGATCACCTTGGATCTAGGGTGGTCCCTAAATTCAGTGATTGGTGCCCTTATCAAAGAAAAGAGAGGGACGTCAGAAATACACAAACGCAGACATTTAGGAAAGATGTGACACAAAGTCAAAAGCAGAGATGGGAGTGATATGTCTACAAGGTAAGGATGCCAAGGATTGCCCACAGCCACCAGCAGCTAGGGGAAAGGTCTGGAACATTCTCCCTCAGAGCCTCCAGAAGGAACTTCTGGCCTCCACAACTCTGAGAGAACAAATTTCTGTTGCCTTAGTCCACCACATTTGTGGCAATTTGTCATGGTGGCCCCACGAAACAAATAGAACATGTAATGTGTTTATTATTGTTATTATTATTGTTATTGTTACTTTATTTTTGTTTTACATGTTTATTCATTTTTGAGACAGGGGGAGACCCAGAATCCGAAGCAGGTTCCAGGCTTTGTGCTTTCAGCACTGATGTGGGGCTTGAATTCACAAACTGTGAGATCATGACCTGTGCCCAAGTCCAATGCTTAACCAGCTGAGCCACCCAGGTGCCTCTTATTTAAATGTACTTCATATTTAAATGAAGTATTCAATATGAATTTTTAAGTGTCTTGGATGTCAGTAATTTAAAATTTTCAAATAAAAAAACTTTTTAATTAATTATAATTTATTCAATTTTTAAATTGTAAGATTTGGAGATCCAGAGTTGCTTTAGAGAAATTGCTGTACAAGCATACTAAGATACTTATATAAAAATACTTAAAGTCAAAGTGTAGTCATAGTCCTAAGCGGGAAATACTCCAAATATCCTTTGGGGTATATTCATAAAGTGGGACATTACATAACAATAAAAGTGAACAGATTATAGTTATCTAGACACTATGGGGATATGGGGGGGATCTTATAAGCATAACGCAAAATAAACTAGGGTAAAAGAAAATCATAGGTAATATAAAGACTGACAATAGTCAAGACTAAAGGATACAGTTTTCCCTAATATATGGTAAAGCTATCCAAGGAAGCAAGGGAATGATTATTTCAAAAGTCAGGATCGTGGGGGAGGGTGGGGTAATAAGTGAGAAGCACCATGATATGGGGAAGGTGGGAGGCTTCCTTTGCGCTGGCAATACTCTTCTCCTTGATGTAGGGGATGCTGTTTTCTATTGTTTATTTCTTTATTTTGAGAGAGAGAGAGAGAGAGGGAGAGAGAGCAAGCAGGGGAGAGGCAGAGAGAGAGGGAGACAGAGAATCCCAAGCAGACTCCGTCCTATCAGCTCAGAGCGAGACTCAGGGCTCGATCTCACCAACCTTGAGACCATGACCTGAGCCAAAATCAAAAGTCAGACGCTTCACCTGAGCCACCCAGGCAGCCCTGACCTGTATTTTCATTTTATTTTACTATTTTCATTTTATAATTCCTTATTAAACTTGTATATGTTTTATGTACTTTTCTGTATGTTATATTGCACAATCAAAAAAGAAAACATTAATATGCAAAAGTGAGAAGTGGGTATGTGAGGAAGAATTGTGTTTATTTTTGCCAATCAGTCTACCCTTCTAGATAAAGGCAGAAAATGAATATAACTAGATTCTTGCCCTTGGAGTGTTCATAATCTAGAAAGTATCCACTCAATTTTGTTCCAGATTTTGAGTTTTGCCCTCATTTCTCAGAATTATTCTAAGAATCAGCAAAGGCATATGTGAAAAAGCTTTATAAAATACACAAATTGATATGATCGCTATATCAGGTACACACTCTCCCTCGAGACTGCAAAATATAAGGAGGAAAAAATAAACTATGCTCTGTTCAGGTTGTAGTGAACACAGCAATGGAAACTTTGACCCAAACTGTCTTTGAGCCTACATAGTCTTAAATTCCTTCCTAATGTCGGATGGGTGGTGTAATGTGGGCCAAGTTACTTAACCTTTCTGATGCCCGGTTTCTTCATCTACAAAAGGGAAGTAATAACACCTATTTTGAAGGTGGCTGAGAGGGTTGAAGGACATAACATCCAAATAACACACTTAAAACTGCTTGGAATGAAGTAGAAACTCTGTAATTCCCCTTCAAAAGACTACTATTTGGTGGGGGTGGGGGGTGGGGTGGGGATGGTGCCTGGTTGGCTCAGTTGGTTAAGCCTCTGACTCTTGATTTCAACTCAGGTCATGATCTCACGATTCGTGGGATCAAGTCCCGAGCTCAGAGCCGGTTTGGGATTCTCTGTCTCCCTCTTTTTCTCCCCCTCTCCTGTTCACAGACACACTCTCTCCCTCTCTCAAAATCAAGAAATAAATATTTTTAAAAAACAACAACAAAGACTACTATTTTGTTTAAAGTTACATTTCTTATGAGTCTTTTTTTAAGCAGGCTTCATGCTCAGCACAGACCCCAGTGCTGAGCTTGAAAAGACCTGAGCTGAGATCAAGAGGCAGAAGCTTAATTTACTGAGCCACCCAGGTGCCCCTGATGAGCCCTTATTATTGATAGAGGGTCTCCTCTTAATGTCTGCATGTTACAATAGGAGGTTCAGATTAAGTACTCAGATTAAAACTAACATAAATATAGAATCAAAGCAGTTTCACACTGCAGGGCTCAGGAATGGGGGTGTGGGAGGGGAACACTGCTGTGACCTCCTTGGAGTCAGCATCATGTGCGGATCAGGGAAGCTCTGGAACGAAGCATTTGCCCATGCAGAGGTCACGATGGTTTGGGCAGCCCCTGACACATGGGGGTGGGTACCAGAAATGTCAGCATTTTCACTGCAGTGCCTCTATCTAAGTCTAAGGTATTCCCGAAA